CTTAATAAGTGTGATTGTGAGAAGCAATACGATAGGACTGACGTCCAGTCATTCTGAGAATCTCCACTGAGATCTGGGAGAAGGACCAGGGGAGAGGTGGGAGACAGAGAAGGGGGAGGGAAGATAGCTGTGTTATCGTAAATCTGGGCGGATGGAGTCGGACGACTGACTCACGTCAGGGTAAATCTGGTCTTTCGACCTCTGCTCTTAAAGCTCTGTGGCCACAGCCCCCTTGAGGCATGTCACTGCTTTCCCCTTTAGACCTCTAGACGTACCCTTGAAATAAAGGTTGTTTCTTCTTTCTCGTGGAACTGTGAAAGTCTGACACAATATGAACTTTAGAGCGGCATATCTTTGAGGAGGACAACGTATAAAACCGCCACTGTCATCCCGAGCCTTGGCTGTGAGACTTGAATCAAATGACTTAACTTCTCTCGGCTCCAGTTTCTTCATGTCTGAAAGGTGAAGCTTGGATGAAATACTGCACATAAGTGATGAAGAAAGATTAGCTCCCTTGTCCGAGATGCCCAAAAGCCGGCCTCTCCTCCGCTGTTGAACTGGAAGGAACCTGTAGCCCGTAGGTATCAGGATTTGGTCCCCAACCCTTCAGAAGTTGGGAGCTTCAAGCCTTAGCAGTCACACTGACTGACTTCACTTTGCACATCTTACAAAAGTTATCTGATGTGTCCGTAGACTCCTTCTCCTGGATCAAGTCCTTTTTAATCCACCAAAGGGTAAATTAACCGAGTGAATCATGAATGCAGTTGGCGAGGAACTCAGACCCTGGACTCACGTGATGGGAAGCCTACACAGGGTCTCTCTAAGTGTTTGATCCTGGGAGAGACTCACGTGGAGGCCCCCCCGAGCAGTCTCTTTAGGAGGAGAGTGTCAGGTAGCCCCTGACCCTTTTCTTGGCAGAATTAGTTTCCCCTAGACCCTTGGGATCAAACGTTGGCATGGCTGAGGTAGATGTATGCTCTGAAGGCCTCTGGTGCTTTGTGCTGGGGCTTCTCAGGACCAACGGCTTTCTTTAGGTTGTCTGCATTGGAGTGATGGCCAGCGAGAACAGCTGTCCTGGGGGCCCCCAGGTGGAGGTTAGCCTTGCAAAGACAGCAGACTGGGCCAGGAATGCCATGCTCAGCTCCCCCAGCCACCCATTTAGACGGTTGAAATTTACGGTGCGTCTCCGGGGTTGCAGGGACAGACTTGGTCTGTCTTTGTCACCCTCACAGTTAAGAGAGGCTGAGAGAGGAAGAAACCCAAGCCTAAAAGGCTGGATGTCTGCACAGAAATCACCATAATCAAAACAAAGGTGGTGAAGGAGAGAAGGCTGGTGATTCAGGAGCCCAAGTCACCAAGAAGCAAGGGGAGTAACAGGATGTTCGGAGTTATGGAGCGAGGAGGGCTCCTGGTTGACAGTCTCACGATGACTCAGGACTTGACCATCATTTCCTTCTGGCCTGGAGTGATGCACAAGGACGAACCTGGTTAGTCAGAAACCAGCTGAACGTCTCCAGAGCACTTCATCCTGAGCGTGGAAGAGAGACGAAGGGAGGGCTCAGGGAGTCTGGAAGGAGGGCAGGTAGTACAAAGGTGTGGCCCAAACGAGATGCGCACAGCGGGGCGGATGTAAAGGGAGCCTGCAGCATCGCAGGGGTTAGGTGACGCAGGTACCATTGTTCAATGAATGGTGTCTGAACTCGGGCAAGCTACTTCGTCTTTGCTCTTTGCCGGTTTCCTCTGCAAAACAGACCATCTCAAGGTTGTTGGGAGGGTGAGGGCAGGGCAGGTGCCCATCAGTGGCCAGCATGATGCCCGCCACATAGGAAATGATTGGTAAACATTGCAGCTCTAGAAGCTCCTTCTTCCAAAAAAAAAAAAAAACCGCTGAGACCTTGGTAGGGTGCATCTCAGCATGGCGATGGGTCCGCAGGAAGGCCTTTTCTATTTAGAAGACAGATTCCTTATGAAAGGAATATAAGCTGCCCTGGAGCCCAAGATAAAACGTGCTTGGAAATAAGCAAATGGAAGTTTGAAGTGTGCTTTGAGAAGGTAAAAATGAAGTGGGGACATGTTGGCACACACAGAGCAGCTGGCCCTGTGAAGCAGCTGGGTGACAAGCCCTTAGTTCATGGGAACAGGCACGGGCTGTTCTGAGGCAGACTGGAGCCAGGGCATATGAGCCCCAGCTGTCTGGACCCTCCTGCTGGCAGGAGAGCCCCCAACCTGTTCCAAAACAGAAAAGGGCTCTAGAAGAGCCTGCATGGAGGCCCAGCCTGATTGGTCATGACCCGTTATCCACACAGCAGCCCGAATATCCACAGGGTGACAGGAAACCATGTGATTGTTTGCTTTGGGATCATTTAGATCTCCCAGAGACGTCTGAACAGAGCCTTACTAGGTGTCTGTGGCCATCTCCTCCCAGTCTCCCTCTCTCTGGGTGCCCGTCCCTCTAGCCTCTCTGTTGACACAAGCTTTGGTGTCTGGCTGTCTTGAATCTGGCTGTGAAACAGCATGCAAGACACAGTGACAGCCTGTGAGTTTACCCAGTAAACTGTGCCTTTCGCCTTCTTTTAGGCCGGGTAGGGCACACTGGGAAAGGTCACTTGTGCAGGACATAGGGAACAGATTCCCAGTGGGGAAGCGCACATTAGGGTTCCAGATACCTGGAGCAGAGAGGGTATAGGACGCTTGGGCATTCCCATGTGTGTGCATGTGCGTGTTTGCATGCTGGCATGGCCATCAGTTCTGCTACAGAAATTCTCCAGTTCCACAAGGGTCTGCTTGCTTGACTTTTGGAATTATGTTGGGTCCTGGTGACCTGGCATTGGTTTCTCTGCACTATATAAGTCTTGGGTTTAGTCAATCTCTCTAAGATTTACTTTTACAAGTTAAAATTGTGTGCATTTGTGTGTGTGTGTGTGTGTGTGTGTGTGTGTGTGTGTGTGTGTGTGTGTGCAGGTATGTGCACACGAGTACAGGTGCCAATGGAGGCCAGGGTGTTTGGGTTCCCCCTGGATTGGGATCACAACTACAGGTAGCTGTGAGCTGCCTTATGTGGCCGCTGAGAACTTGGGTCCTCTGCAAGAGCAGCAAACACTCTTACCTGATGAACCATCTCTCCAGTCCCACACTTCCTCCTCTGAGGTACTTGAGGGTCCACAGAAGAGCAGATCTGATCCCTGCCTGGAGGGTCCAGAGCATTATTGAAGGGCTACATCTAGAGCTGGTCTGAGAGGAGTCAGAACACTATACAAGGGCCACGGAAGAAGCACAGAGAAACTGAGCCTCAGTGGGAGAACTCAGACTGGCGTTCTGAAGGAAGACCTGACTAATTTGTACTGGCCTTGAAGGGAGATAGAGTTTTGACTAGGGGGAGTGGGCTGGATTGGGGGTTGTGAGAAAGGCATTCACGGGGAGGGCGCAGCTCATGGAAAGACAGGTATAGCCTGTCAGGAGCTTCCATTGTGTTAAGCCTGTTGGCTGAATACAAACATGGAGGAGATGGAGGAGAAGGAGGAGGAGGAAGAGGAGGAGGAGGTGGTGGTGGAGGAGGAGGAAGAGGAGGAGACCTCAAATGCAGATGGAGACTGTGTTGGGTTTCAGGTCAGGAACTGCTTGGCAACTGGTTTATGAAGAGCATGGCAGGGTGGATGCCTATGGCTGGAGAGAATTGGGCACGGATGACCCTGGATGACAAAAGGAGCCCAGCACACAACAAAGGCTCTCTACCCCAGTTTCTCACTTGTCTGAGGTCCATGAAGGCTTTGTGTTGAATTTGGCCTCTCTGGGTATCCTCCAAGCCAGCATACACCCCGTGCCCCTGGGCTCTGTCAAGCTGAGGGCACGGACTATTTTTGTATTCCTTCAAATGCCCATGTTTATTTTTAAACCGGAGCCTTTGTAAAGCAGGGATGGATCATGAAGTCTTTGCTTTTGAGTAAAAAGGTTCCCCGAGGCCGATGGAACCTGCAGAAGGTGTCCCTGAGTCGTGCAGTAGCAAATGGCTGCCTCTGGCATGAGAAGGAAGAACTCATTTGCTTGAAAACAAATCCTGGAAAGAGGAAGTCCTCATGTGGTCGGCCAGTTCTTAATGTGTGCTGACTGATCTGTGGCAGGCGGCAGTGCCCAGCCATGGAAGGGCCCTGTGCTGGAGGCAGGGCCAGTTGGCAAGCTGGGCTGTACATCTGAAGCCGCCGCCGCCGCCGCCGCCGCCGCCGCCGCCGGCGGTCTTCATGCTCACCCACTGACAGGAGCCTGCGGATTTAGACGAGAAGGTCTGTTATCTTTTAAGCATATGCAAGCTATAACTGAAAATTAAAGATTAACGTAGAGTTCAAGATGGAGGATTCATCTTGGACGTATTTATACCTTCTCTGCCCAGAACCCATTAAATAATAATAAAGAGATTAGGGAAGTATAATCCCAGGGCACCCAAATGAATAAGAGGGAATTAACAGCGATTGAAAGATTTCGACAAATTTCTGGATGGCAGAGAGCGAGGGAAGGAAAGACAACATCAGAGAACGCGAGAGGAAGCCATGCAGCCTGCAGGTCCCCAGGGGAAGCCGTGCAGCCTGCAGGTCCCCAGGGGAAGCCGTGCAGCCTGCAGGTCCCCAGGGCGTCTTTCGGCTGAGCCCACCCATCAGAGAGGGCAGGCGTGAGAAGCGGGGCTGTAGCTGGGCCTTTATTTGGAGGCCTGAGGAACACGGTGCTTGTCAGAGGGATGAAGACATCATTGAGTCAGCCCAGGCTGGAAGTGTGGGGTGGCGTTCTGGAGTAAAGCCTTCCTCCATCCACACAGAATATCCAATACTGGGGACCGAAGAGGAGGAGTCAGTGCCCCAAACCTCACCTCAGATGAGATGGGAGCATGAAGAGTTAGGCAAGGCCTGCTAAATGGTTCCTGAGAGAAAGTAAGATCTCAACCTGCTGAAGAAATTATCATTGCCAGGTGGAGGTGACGCACGCCTTTCATCCCAGCACTCGGGAGGCAGAGCCAGGCGCGATCCAGGACAGGTACCACAACTACACAGAGAAACCCTGTCTCGAAAAACCAAGAGAGGGACGGGGGAAGAGATATTAAAATAATAATAGTAATCCCCCCCCGGGTGTGTGTGTGTGTGTGTGTGTGTGTGTGTGTGTGTGTGTGTGTGTGTGTGTAAGATTAGTGCAGCTATGTGTATGGCAGAGCCTGAAAGTGGAGGTCAGAGGCTGACCTTGTGTTTGGAGCCTTACCTTCCACTTTGTGAGACGATGTCTCTTGTCATTTTGCCATTGTGTGTGTCAGGCTCCTTGGCCTTGAGCTTCCCAGGATTCTGCTGTCCCTGTCTTCTGTCTGGTTGGAGGGTTGCCGGGATGACAGATGTACGGCACCATGTCTGGCTTTTGGATTCTGGGGATCTGGACTCAGGTTCTCACACTTGTAGAGCACACAGTCTACGCACTGAGCCACCCTTCCGGTCCTGTCCTTGGGTTGTCTTTGCAGAGTTGAGATTGTAGGCATGAGCCACCACACCACACCTCGTTCACGGGATGCTAGGACTGGACCCATCTTCTCATGCCTTCTAGGCTAGCACTCTACCAAGGGAGCTATATCCTCAGCCCAAATTTTATACCTGCTGTGGTAGGCTGAAAAGTATGCCCCGAAGACAGCAGCCCTGATCTCTGGTGCCTAGAAATCTTACCACAGACGGTAGAAGAGTCTTTGCAGAGGTGAATAGGCAAAGGACTCTGTTCGGGGAAATTATCCCGAATTACCAATGCAGTCGTGAGTATGGGAACAGAGGGGACAAAGGAGAATTTATTACAGTCAGAAGATGGCAGTGATTGTGGGGCCTGTGCAGAGAAAGATTTGGTGCTGCTTTATGGCAGGTGTTGAAGACAGAAGAAGAGGCCATGAGCCAGTGAGCTGGTTCCAGAAGCTAGAAGGGATGGGACAGTCTCTCCGTAGAGCTTCTGGGGGAGCGGGGAGCATTACTCTGCTGGCATCGTGGTTTCAGCTCAGGGAAACTTGTTTTGCATTTTTGGCCACTAGAAGTGTTTGGAAATAAATTTGTTATTTTAAGCCGGCAAGCTTGTGGTAATTTGGTACAGGAGCTTACAAAACTAGTGCTTCCAGCTACAGCAACCAAGTGTGAGGGGAAAGTAGAGAGACAGGATTTCCGGCTGCCTTCTCACGCATCCTGAGGATCAAGACCAACAGAACAGGGTGAAGGCTATGAAAGAGGCAGTTGGCAGGTAAAAAGATTGGTGGCTTCTGGGAGAAGAATGAAAAGAATTCCAGACAGAAGGCTGTGGATGTGCCATGAAGTGCTCAGGCCAAATTAGAACAGGAAGTCATAGGTTCCATGATTTCTGTCTTCAGGGCAGAGACAATGGGCAGAAGCAGACAGGCTAGAAAATGCTGGGACGATAGGAACATGGACCGTTTCTTTTCTCCTTAACAGGGGGCAATAGAACAAATTGTCACGGTGACTCAGACACCTCACGAAGGTGCTGTGTGCTTTGGAACGGCTGGGGGAGACTCAGAAAGGGGATGTTTCCCTCTGACCTCCATGCTAGACATGTCTCCCCCGAGTGCATTCAGGGCCCTGGCATTGGGACTACACAGAAAGAATTCTAATCCCAGCACATTTCTTGCCTCTACAGGGAACAGTATTTATCTAATCCGATGATGTTCTCTTTTTAAAAGGGCGACATAGTGCTCAGTTGTGTTTGTAGACCGACTGAACTCGTCCTGGACGTAACAGTCCGTATCTGGTTGACCTTTTACAGATAGTGCAGGATTTTGAGTTCATTCTGATAGTGAAGCTTTCTTTATTGGATCCATGGGAGAACTGAATTATTGTATTAGTAACGTATAATTATATGTAGTGGGAGGGGCCCCAAGAGCACAGGTGCCAGCTGAAGTCTGAAAGGAGGTGGTTGATTGGCATAGCTAATGATTGGTCCATTTAGTGGGCAGAGCCATGTGTCCTGGGCATCTGGCCAGGAGGGACCAGCCTGTCCCTGGTCCCGTATTGACGAGCGGCCTTAGTGACTTTGCCAAGTAGGGCCCCGGGGCCAAGGAGGATGTTGGGTGGAGCAGACATGCTGACTTAGAGGTGTGAAAGGGAGAAACTCACACTTGTTTCTCTGCCAGCAGAGACGATCTAGAAACAGAGAGGCTATTGTGCTCTAGCCAGTGTTTCCCAATCCTCCAGTGCCATGGACACATGGAAAATATTTGTAGAGCACCTAGGCAAGTAGACAAGACCATCCACAGCATGCGGCCATGGGCTCCTGATGCCTTGGCCCTGCCCTAGCCCTCAGGGTTAGGACATTGCCTTCCCAACAGGCCACTTCCAGCCCAAATGGCATCTTCCTACAAATTGGAAAAGGCCGCTTAACTTCTCTCTCTGGTCCCCTTCCAGATATCTGTTCCTTCCCAGGCAACTGACTAGCATAAAAGGTGTGCACATCCCTTGCTACCATCCATTGCTTGGTACCCCCCAGCTGTGCACTGTGCAGTTTTTAACACACCTGTGACTCATGGGAGGCCACCGCACTGGGAAGGAAGCTGAGGGCCGGGGCTGCTGGAGAAGACAGACACAGAGGGGCGTTTCTACCCTGTGCTTAGTAGGAAACTCCCAGGATTCTGCCCTGGGGACAGATCACATGGGGAGGGTCACCATGCAGGGAGATGAGGTACATACGTGGGGTTCAGGAGAGACATGTGAGCTGGAGATACATATCCAGGCATTATCAGGTAGAGACGATACTTAAAGCATGGGAGGGAGCATGGCGAAGAAAGTCCGCAGACAATCATTGGGGAAACAAGTTCCCAGCAGGCCACCAAGCCTTGTCTGCTTAGGGAGGTTCTGACGTTTGGGTAGAAGAGGAAATCGGTCCCAGCTGGAGGGCAGTCTGAGCACAGTGGTACCTCCTGGTGTCATGCTGTCCTTAAAGTGGCATCTGCTTGGGATCCTTCTACACCTGTTCACCTCCTCTCTCACTTCCGCAGCAGTCCCTGAGAGGTGGAAGGACATCTAGTCTGGAGCCACCATAGCTCGTCCTTGTAGGCAAGATGGGGCTGTCTATGCTTCTGGCCTTGACAATATGGGAAGTAATAGAATGGAGTCTTGCCTTCTTGGATACATGAGATATAACCACCATAACATGTTAAAGTCAAATAATTAGATTTGTTAAGGGTTTGGATCTTGAACTCATGGCAATCCTCTTGCCTCAGCCTCCCAAATTGCTGGGATTATAGGAATGTACCACCATGCCTGGCCATATTATTAGCTCAGCGGACATTTTGGACCTACTGTGTACTTAGGGCTCCAGCAGATAAAGGGCTGGTGGGCAGCATACTGTCTCCACATCACAGTAAACTTGCCATGGCTTTCGAACAGTTCTTCTTACTGACCAGGCCTCCTTCCTGGAAGACTTCCCTTAACATGTCAACCTTCTGTAATACTAAGTTCTCAGCACATCACTTCTTTGTGTATATCCCAGAACTCGTTGCTGTCCCCATGAGCAGATCTGCCTTGCTTTGCATTTCTGCACATGCCCTGAGTGCCATGCCCTGAGTGCCACGCCCTGAGTGCCATGCCCTGTGTCCTTGGGTGTGAAAGAAAAGGCTGGCCAGTGGAGCAGTCCTCACCCAGGGGCCTGGGAGAGGGGCCAGGTGCCCACAGGACTGGTGCTCACAGGACAGGTGCCCACAGGACCGTCTTCTGTCCAGCAGACAAAAGGCAGCTGTTCTGCTCCCAGGCAGCTTGAGCCGGGAACCAGCACACCTGCATTCTTGAGGCCACGTTGGTGGATTCCTGCAGAATAGCAAGCTATTTGGCAGTCACATGTGACGTGGACCAGTCACTGTGCAAACAAATTCTCTCTTCTTTGGGATTTACTGCTGTGGGGTTATCTATTGCCTGTGTTTTTGTGGGTGTATCTGACTTCCTCAGGTTGGAATTTTCCTTCTAGTGCTTTCTGTAGGGTTGGATTTGTGGGTAGGTATTGTTTAAATCTGGTTTTGTCTTGGAATGTCTTATTCACTCTGTCTATGGTGCTTGAAAGTTTTCCTGGGTATATTAGTCTAAGCTGGTATTGATGGTCTCTTAGTGTCTGCATTACATCTGTCCAGGTCCTTCTGGCTTTCAAAGTCTCCATTGAGAAGTCGGGTGTTATTCTGATGGGTCTGTCTTTATAGGTCACTTGACCTTTTTCCTTTGCTGCTCTTAATATTCTTTCTTTATTCTGTATGTTTAGTGGTTTAGTTATTATGTGGCATGGGGACTTTTTTGGCGGAGGGGGTAGTCTATTTGGTGTTTTATAAGCTTCTTGTATCTTCATAGGTATTTCCTTCTTTAAGTTGGGAAAGTTTTCTTCTATGATCTTGTTGAATATATTTCTGTGCCTTTGAGTTGTTATTCTTCTCCTTCTATCCCTATAATTCTTAGGTTTGGCCTTTTCATGGTGTCCCAGATTTCCTGGACATTTTGTGTTACGACTTTTTTGGCGTTGGTGTTTTCTTTGACTGATGAATCTATTTCCTCTATTGTATCCTCTACACTAGAGATTCTCTCTTCCATCTCTTGTATTCTCTTGGTTATGCTTGCATCTGTGTTTCCTGTTCGTTTACTCAGATTTTCTATTTCCAACATTCCCTCTGTTTGTGTCTTCTTCATTGTTTCTATTTCAATTTTCAGATCTTGAACTGTTTAATTGCCTTTTCATGGTTTTCTTGGCTTTCTTTAAGGGATTTATTGATTTCTTCCAATTTTTTGTTTGTCTTTTTCTCAATTTCTTTAAGGGAATTTTTCATTTTTTCTTTAAATACTTGTAGCATCTTCATGAAGCTATTTTTTTAATTAATTAATTTATTTTTTAAATTACACTCATGATATTAATAACATTTGTGGTATTCATAGATTACATTTGCAGTATTCATTCAATTATATATATATTAAGGTCACTTTCTTCTGCTTCTTCTACATTGTGATGTTCAGGTCTCTTTTATAAATATTGCCTGA